AAAAACAATACAGCAAAATACAGAGAGAGCAAGTAGAGTTATGAACGAAATTGGAGTGAAAAAATCAAATGAGAAACTTGTCTTTTTATAGGTGTAAAGGTAACTTTTTAGTTTGAATTAAACATGTAATAAACCTGTTTGAATTAAATAGGAGCAGATCTGTTCGGTTTGAATGAACAGATATGGCACTGTTTGGGTTTGAATTTGAGCAGATAACCGAATCTGATCGGTTTCCCTCTGCTGGGACACGTGGCAACGGCTGATTGGATCTCCTTAAAAAGGTGATAGATTGATAAGACAAGAGCATGACAAAGTGTAAGCAACAAGTAAGGTAACATGGGCACTTCGGCGGGTAATGATCTCGACTAGGACAAAGCTTCGGCAAGTAGGGTCTCAATGATCTCGGCTAGGAAGGACAACACTTGGCCTAGCTGTGCTACACCTCAGCCTAGATGTGTCACACCTCGGTCTAGGTCATACGAGTCCAGGAACAAGATCACCAGGTGCAGGGATCAAAGATCTCTAATACCTAAAGAATAACATCTCGGCCTAGATGATACACACCTCGGCCTAGGTGATGAACACCTCGGCCTAGATGACGACATCTCGGCCAATATGCCAGGGCAAAGGTGGAGGTCAACCAAAGTGGTTCCAAGATGGTCCTAGGTATAAGAGATTCAAATGTGTGACCTAGGATTAAGATGACCTCGGCTAAACACACACTAAACAAGGAACAAAGCATACAACAACACTTAGATAAAACAAAACAGGATTTCATGAATGCAACATAACAAGACAAAATCATATAAATGCATGTAAGCATGACTAAGACAGAGTGAGGGTTGTTACATTCCAAGCCGGTAGTAACTTTTCCGTTAAAGCAGTGACTTGAAAAGACTCGTTAAGAGACATACCTTCAGAATGAATATCATGTAAAATTAATTGAAAATTTTGAACTTGAAAAATTACCGTTGGGGAGTCTACCATAATGAAATTCAAAAATTTACCGACAACAAATTTTTTTGTATCGGCATCTTCTGTCTTGTTTTTTTTTCTCCAACGAATCCCACAATTCTTTTGCTATTTGCAGAGGGCTGTAAACATTATATAGTATGTTGTCAAGGCCATTGAAAATGTAGTTTCTGCACAAGAAATCAGAATGTTTCCAAGTATCTACAGTGGCAACAACTTGCCGATCACTTTCATCCTCTCTAAGTACTGGAGCCTCTTTACGGAAGAACCGAGCCAAATTTAGAGTTGTAAGATAAAACAGCATTTTCTGTTGTCATCTCTTAAACTCTGTGCCATTAAATTTTTTCCGTTTTTCTCCATGATTAATCGGAACTTGAACATGGTTCTAGATAGGGACTGAAGTCGTTGTAACGATCGGATTTGGAGTATTACCTTCAGCAGCCATAATATCTGATTACAAAAATCAGAAAAAAACCAAAACACAAATTAATCTTCTAGTTACTAAAACTAGAAAATAACTTATAATACAAAATAATTTTATTTTCCTTGTTATTAAAACTAGAAAAATGAAATACCATAATAATTTTCTATAACCCAAATTAATGTTCTGTAGTTGTTAATGACACCAGTATATTACTACTAGTTGTCAAAGAAAATAAACAGCATATTACTACTATTTGTCAAACAGTATATTACTACTATTTGTATTTTCCAACTAGAATATCACTTTGTGAAAGCACTAGAAAAAATAAATACAATGAAGACACTAAAAATAGTTTGTTTTAAGATTGTTGGATAATCTTAACTATATTTAATGAAATAAATTCTATTTGTGTACTAAACAACAAACGGAATACAAAAGAAATATAGGAAATAAGAGAGTTTGTTTGATTACAAAAATCAAATCAGAAAATGAAATAAGATAAATAAAACAGATTTTTATTTTGTTACAAAACAAAATCAAAATCTGAAACAGAAAAATAATAAAACAGAAAAGTAAATTAATTACTTACCAAATTAATTTGTTGAACAAATTTTCTGATCAAGTCCAATGTTTAACACTGTGTCCTTAAGACAAATTCGTCCTATCCACGATGCTTTCAGAATATGGACATCTATCTCCTAGGATAAAATGATCAACAGCAAACAATAGCAGCACTACAAATTGTTTACACAATGGACACACTTTGTGTTTATACTTTTTTCTCACAAAAAAACAATACAGCAAAATACAGAGAGAGCAAGTAGAGTTATGAACGAAATTGGAGTGAAAAAATCAAATGAGAAACTTGTCTTTTTATAGGTGTAAAGGTAACTTTTTAGTTTGAATTAAACATGTAATAAACCTGTTTGAATTAAATAGGAGCAGATCTGTTCGGTTTGAATGAACAGATATGGCACTGTTTGGGTTTGAATTTGAGCAGATAACCGAATCTGATCGGTTAAATTCAAACAGATAAAGGAAAAACCGAACAGATTTTTCCCTGAATTAATTTGAATTCTGGACAGAAATTTTATTTTACCAAAAAATAAAATTAAATTCAAATGTTTTTAGCCCAAAAAGATAAGCATTGGGCCGGACAAGCCCAACCCAACCTCACACCACGCACCCGTGTCCAAGCTCAGCCTAGCCCGAACGGACGGTTACGGCGCGTGCATGTTTTTATTTTTGGGTCCAATGGGTCTAGCCCAGTTTGCCCATAACCTCCCTCTCTACAAAGCTTGGGGGTGCCCCTTGGGGCCTACTCCAAGTTACAAACCCATGCCTTATAAACCCAAAAAATTATTCCCACCAAACCAATGTGGGACAAGCTTTTATTCAAACCTTTAAGGATTTTTTACAAAAACTCCATTTCCATGAAGCTCACTTTGACTTCAATTTTTCATTCACCTGATGAAGGTTTTAAGCAACCAAATATACCACATGAATCACAACGCGGTATAGAACGCATTATCACTTAGACCCGCCAACTTTGGCACATGAGTCCCACCTAAAAATTAGACCAAAGTTAAGGAAAAATTCTGTTTTTCCAAAACTTTCAAAACCCATTTCTAACAAAAACAACATTATTAATTGAGAATGAGGCGCCACTGCTATGAGATCTCAACCATGTTGCCACTCTCACCTTGATACACTCACATAGATCATGAAAATTGGGCTGCACAGCCTGAAAAGCACATTCACTCTACACAGACCACAATATTGCTGCAGGTAAAGCCCTCCAAACCTGATTAACTTCTTAAACTTCCAACCCAACCACCAACAAAGTAGACTTTTAATGGGCATGGGCATAGCCCACTGAAAGCCCCACCATAAAGCAATAGCAGACCATATTTGCCAAACAAAAGGGCAATGAAGCAAAATATGGTCAACTGATTTAGATGCCTCTTGACAAAAAATACAATTCAGATCATCACCACCCACCAAAATTCCATACTTGTGTAGCAGTTCTTTTGTTTTCAGTCTTCCTTTCCAAGCTAACCAAGAGAAAATTTTAGCTTTATTTAGGTCATATTACATTTCTACTATATCACTTTAACTCCAACCCACATTTTATATTTTTTCATAAAAAATTAAAAAATATACTAATCTAATACTTCCCAAACAATCTTTAAATGTTTTGTTTTTTTTAAGCAAAGGGAAATAGTTTTTTTTATTGATGAACCAATGTAGTACAAGATGAACAACAACGATAAAAATCAATATTTTATTAGTTAATAACATTATATAGAATAATGTCACTGTTATATTTAATATTTGTCTAAAGTTTTCTTTTTTAATAGCAAAGGGAAAATTTTATTGAGGAATCGATGTGGTACAAAAATAAAATAACCCTCATATTTGTATTTCGATCATAAATTTGATTAAATATTTAAAACAAAAAAAAATTAAAATTTAATTTATATTTCATTTATATTTCTCACACTTTTTTTTTTTTTTTTAAATCCATACACAAATTCATAATCGGACCTGTTTTTGATGTTATCATAAAGATAAGAGTTTGCTTACGCTAGTGCTGCATGTGGGTCTTCGAAAATTGATGCTGACCTCTCAATCTCTCTCGACAGTCCAATTTAATTTTGCCAGCTATATCTTCTTTTATTACACAAATTCTACCAATCTTCCCACAAAATACCTGTGCTGTAAACCTCGTCATCCTTAGGGTTGGTTTGGTATGTTTGAAAAAAATTAAAAAATTATTATCCTATTTAAGTCGCATTATCTTATTTAAGTCACATTATCTTTTTAATACATCACTTCAAACCCAACTCAAACCCAAACCCAAACCCAACTCATATTTCATAAAAAATAAAAAAATATATTTATATATATCATCTCAAACAAAAAATTTAAAATTTTCAACTTTCTAAAAACCTCTCTTTCTCTCTCTGAAAACCTCCTCCCCGGGCCTCATTTTGGGCCGGCCGGCCGCCGCCTTCGGCTATGGTGGTTGGCTGGCCCAGTTCTTTCTTGTGTTTGTTTGTTAATTTCCTTTAATAAACTTGATTTATTTTTTAAATCAATATTTTCTCTCATATTTTTTTTTAATTATCAATCAATCATATCATTTATACATTATTTGTGTCTAAATTTTTTTATATATTTTCTAATATTTTTTATAATATTTTTTTCATAACTTTTAATATTTCTTTTTTCAGTGTCAAATCCCTCCATCTAAGATTTTAATTCATATATGTATATTATATCCGTTGATATGTATTCAGATTTTTCCCATTGGATATAGTATTAATCACTCTCTTTCCTTTCTTTTCATTTTCACTCTTTGGGAAAATGATTTGAGTTGGATTGGAGATTGAGAAACACCAACATGAGGATGGCAACAACCAATCAAATGTTAGCAACCTTAGGATAAGAAACCTATAGCATATAATAATGAGAGGAAAGTTAAGTTGGAGAGGAAAATGAACAAAGAGAGGTTGAATTTGGAGAAAGGGACTCACAAACTAAATGGGTATTAAAAATTCTAGTAAAAATAAAATAAAATAATATACACAGCAACAGAGAGAGAAAGAGAGAGAACCCATCCACCGCCCACAACTACAGTCTCTTACCAAAACCAAACCCAATCCCAAACCCAAACCCAAACCCATCACCGATCTAGTTTCTCAATCTAACCCTAACCCAACTCTAACCCTTTAGAGGGGAAGAGAACCTACTCCTGTTATCCCTCACATCTTCATCACTCCCAAACCCTCAACAACAACATCAACGTCAACACAAACTCAATCAAAACCCTAGAAAAAGCTCTTCTTAAAGTCGATGACAATTACAGACAGACAAACGGTTCATTCATGCTGCCGATTTAGTGGATGACACCAAAAATCCACTCCTTTTCTTCTTTCTAGTTACGGCTAAAGCAAGAAAAAAGAGTCACATAGAGCGACGCACCAAAATCCAACAAAGTCTTCCTACTATACTTGGCTTTTGTTTTGTTTCCAATTCCACTATCTTTAGCTTCTTCTTTAATTATTACGTCCTTTACTTCCTTGTATTTCCGTTTCTTGGTTTCACTGTACACTGTGTTTTGTGTGTATATGTGATAAGTGAAGTGAGGGTTTTGAGAAAGAAAATCAAAGGAAAGTACACAACACAAAACAAGGACAAAGATTATGGATCCAGTGACAGCGACGGCTCAAGGACATTCTCTTCCACCTCCTTTCCACACAAGAGACTTCAATCTGCAACATCAATTTCACCACCATCACCAACAACAAAATTCAGAAGACGAACAGAGCGGCACGAATGGCCTAAACGTTGGTCAAAAAAGAGATCGAGAGGAAAACAACAGCGACAACATCGATGGTGGTGGCGGCGAAGGCAAGGAAGGCGATGGAGGAAGTGGAAGTGGAGGTGACATGACAAGAAGGCCCCGAGGTAGACCCGCTGGATCCAAAAACAAGCCCAAACCACCGATCATCATTACCCGAGACAGCGCCAACGCCCTCCGGTCCCACGTGATGGAGATCGCAGACGGCTGCGATATCTCCGACAGCATCACCACCTTTGCGCGGCGGCGCCAGAGAGGGGTTTGCATTTTGAGTGGGACCGGCACGGTGACCAATGTCACTCTCCGCCAACCGGCCTCGCCTGGTGCGGTGGTGACATTACATGGGAGGTTCGAGATCTTATCGCTAGCTGGGTCTTTTCTGCCGCCACCAGCCCCACCAACGGCTACGGGGCTCACCATATATCTAGCCGGTGGACAAGGCCAAGTGGTGGGCGGTAGCGTGGTGGGGCCGCTTCTGGCGTCAGGACCGGTTGTGATTATGGCGGCCTCATTTAGCAACGCAGCCTATGAGAGGCTTCCACTCGAGGAGGAAGAGACTCCTCTTACCAAAGTGGTGGTGGTGGCGGCGGTGTTGGATCTCCAGGGGCAGTTGGGCAGCCACAGCAACCAGCACAACTACTAGCTGATCCATCGGTTTTCCATGGTATGCCGCCGCATCTTCTCAACTCTATTCAAATGCCACCGGAGGCGTACTGGGCCACCGGTCGTCCTCCATTCTAACACAACAAGTCATTGGAGGGCATGAGAGACCTATAAATTCACTTTCCCTCACCATCAATCAACTTTAACTCACCAAGAAATGTTAGAAGAGTATTTAGGTAGAGCCTAGAGGAGAATTTGGGTTGTTGAGCATTTCAGTTCAGGTTTTTTTCCCTTCTTAAATTTCAGTCATTTTTTGTTTGGATTTTGATGACTAGATGATATGGATTTGAAGAACTTTGTAAATTCTTGGTTTCATGTTTAGTTCAATTTTTATGAGAATAATAGTATCAATTTATTCCACATGACAAATCAAGAAGAAAGATGATCATGAACAACAACAGCTGAGCAAGTGCTATGAAAAAGCACCAGACCTTTAGAGGTCAGCTAAGCTGAACTCAAGACTCAAGTTCGAGTCTCGAAATCCCTTTCCTCCGTCTCCTCCTAGCCACTCTTACCTCGATCCCAAAAAAAAGAAAAAGAAATACTAATAATAATAAAACAGCTCCAAGATTGGACTTCCCCTCAATTGCAGAAATTATCCAATTTTTCTGAAACACCACGTAATTACGTGCTCAACCAAAGGGGTGTCGACATTTTCCCAAATTAGTTTTTTATTTTTTCAAGTTATATAAGTACACAGCCCCGTGTTATTAGACAGATACATCAAACCTAGTGTTCCGAAAAAACCGAACAATTACTAGTCATATCATATCATATCCACACAAGCGATGGAATGGTCAAAATTTGAACTCATTTGTTTCATCACATCTCACACTCATAAAACATCCTACTTTCATCAGTTTCAGTGGGAAAAAAAAAAAAAAAAAAAAAAAAAGTCACGCTTTTAGAGCTGCAGATTGGTGAGGTGACAGAAAGAGGAAGACATTATTATGTGAAAATCATTTTGTTTTAGAGGTATAATTATTGCTGTTGCTGATATTGTTGCAAAGCTAAAGAGCTCAAAGAGAAGTAAATTAAAGCCCATTTGACGGTTTCAAATTTCAATGGGTGGGTTAGCAAACTATTTGCGAGAAGAAAAAAGAGGTATGGGCTTTACAGTTTTCCATAATCTTTTTTCACTACAGCTAGTTAATCAGAAAATTTGTCATGAAATTTGTCCCCAGAAAACTAATGTATGCCTAAGATTGAATCACTATATTGTAGAGTCCATGGCTTAGATAAATCAGAGCCACACAATTATATTTATGGATAATATTTCGGAATTGAAAACGCCTATGAACCTCACTTAAACTATCCCAAATTTATTCGAATGGAAATGTGTGGTTAAGATTGAATTTGTGTAATGTAAATCTATGTATAGAATAAATCTTAATTACAAAAGGATAATTATAGATAATTTCTACATAGTTAAGTCTGAATTTATTATATCACTATTCTGTTTTTTGTTTTCCTCTAAAATTTGCGATGAATTTTGGGGTTTTATACTATGCAGAGAAGACATGAATGAGTAGTATTTAGGTACTGGTTTACACGTGCACTGCTCTGAACAAGCTCCTTTTCGAGGCAAAGCAACAAACACTTCAATAAACACGACAACAACTAGGATAAAACGTTATAACTTAAAGTCTCTCTCTCTCTCTCTCTCTTCCGGATTCTAGGAAATGGGGGATTGGGGGAAGAGTTCAATGTTGAAAACCAAAAACCCAGCCCAGATACTTCGTACTTTGTAGTGGACTCACATACCCATTGCTGCTTTTTGGCAACATGTAAAGCCTAGTGATCTTTATCCCTTTCTTGGTGGGAGAAGAAAGATACCTTGACATTCAACCTTTTCCTTTATCTCTTTCTCTTTGCACTGTCAACTCTTCTTCTTCTTCTTCTCCTTTCGTTGGTTGATTGACTGATTTTATAATGAGACATGTTTCTTAAAGCCTACTTTGTTTTTTTGAAAGCATGGTTCTTTCTCTCACTCACAACACCACTTTTTGTTTGTTGGGTTCATCTTCATATTCTTGTTAGTCGAGAAGAGTTTGTTGTAATTCTTGTTAACATAGTGGTTTTGTATATAGAAGCTTGCTACTCCCATTTCCGTTGACCATGCCGGGTTTTGATGCGTAAATTGTGTTAGAGTTAATTACATTTTTCATCTTTAAAATATGCAATATTTTGATATCCAATATTTGAATTGTATTAAGGACAAATTTCACTTTATCTTCATAATTTGGCTTATGTACAAATAATTTCTTATCATTTGAAAATAATCACATAATCTCCTTATGAGCGCACTATTAACTTCCGTAATAGTTAATTAACCTAAATACCCATGTCTTCTTCCTCTAAACCTATATATACACATGTATATGAGCATATCTATATACACTGTAAATCCCTCAATCTTCTTCCCCTCTCTCTATGTTATACACCTCTACATTTACACACACAACTGTCTTGCTCACCAAAACACTTTCACAACTTCCATTGGAAGTCGATTGCTGCATTACTTTCTAATCTGAGTTGAATTTGGAACTCCGCTTTTCCAATGCTTTTGTTTCTTTTTGATGGATTCTTATGTTGTGCTGGCTTCATGCTAAAAAAAAAAAAAAAAGAAAAAAATTCAATTGGAACCAGCCAAGCTTCCACCAAAGGAAACAAACCTTGAATAACTAAGCGCCCCCAAAAACTTAGGTGTGATTGGTTTGAAATTGATGACTGGGACAATCCTCACATATAAGATTTTTTTTTTGTTCAAATCTGATTTGCACACAAGCCGAAGTTAAATATATACCATATATAACAAATCAATTTTTTTTTTATTTTTTATTTTTTACACAAACTCAAATTTTAATCATTTAGTAAATTTAAGAAAACCTTATAGCTTCCATTGACCCAACAAAACTTCATTGATATAATGGGTAGCTGTTAGTAAAATTTTTGTTAGGTTTAAATTGATAGAGTCTTAATCAAAATTTAACTAAACAACACAATGATCAAGCAATTGTATTAAGGTTCTATGTCTTGAAAGTTCAAGGACTTTCTTAGAGTAAAAATAATGGCAACACAAATAAAAAAAGAGAAAAAGAGAGGAAGATGATGATATAAATGATTAAATGAACAATCAAATACAAGTAAAATACATTAAGACTATTCCAATCTAAGTTTAAACTACTCTTATATAGATTAGATCTATTCTTAATATAGAAAAGAAATAGAAATCAAGTTATGTATTGATTTGTTAGTCCTTTATAATAAAGCCATTAATTACAATTTATAAAAAAAAATAAAAGAAAAAACTTCCATTACCCACAAATAACTACTTTTAACTTCCTAAATCTTAAATTTTTTTTTTCTTACAATGCCATGTGTCTTTCATTCCTTGAATCTTCAAACCTTGTCTTAACTTCTCTTTAACCTCCAAGATTTTCTTGCATAATTTTTTTTTTTTTTGATCAACAAAAAAAGAAGCTTTATTGATGTATAATTAGTACAAGGTACAAAAACAATACACCAATAAAGAAAAGAGGAGTGCCAGAGTATCACAATGAGCTGAATGATCCCAACTAGGTTGGCACCAAAAAGTCCATCCTATCATTTGTTAGCACCTCCAAGTTGGTGAGGAACCAACGAGGAAGAAAGAAACCAAAAAACAAAGAGAAAAAGGAAAAACCAAAAAGCCAGCAGCTAGACAACCTCTGGTATGCACCAGCTCCAACCATTCACAAAACAAGAACAAAAGCAAACCAGCAGAGCAGCCCACTAACAAGATGAAGTCTTCTTCCTTGCTTTCAACAGCAGTCCAGATGAGGATGTAGGCCAACCATCTCCACCATCAAAGATTTTCTTGCATAATAAGAATAATAATAAGAAGAAGAAGAAGAAGAAGAAGAGGTAATAGAAAATTTAAACCTAATCATAATCGACGGAAAATTTATTTATGGTGCAAACAATGCCTCAACTCTTTAAGAATAGGATTACTCGAATTCTTGAGGAGTTGTATGAACATAAATACATAATAGAAACTATGAAAAATATAATCGATTGACCGTATATATATCATTTTTTTTTTTTTTTTTTTTTTTTTTTTGAATAACCACATCAAAATACTCCTTTATTACTGTTATATTAAAGAGTCATTACTGTTATCAATGACTTCCTATTCAACTTTAAACACATCAGAACTTGTCTTTGTAGTAGGTTAGCTGTAGGCCCTGGTTAGGTGCTGGTTTTTTGCTCTTTAATTTCTTAGGCTTCTGCTTTTTTGGATGGCTCCTCACTATCGTTGTGGTGCGCTAGTAATTTGGTTAATCTCGTGGTACCAATTTAGTTCGGATCTCTGAATTAATTGTGATGCTTTTTATACCCTCTTTTTTTAATGATGCATATATCTTGTTCCATTTATGATTATCATCAATAAATTTTTTGCTGATTCAAAAAATATATATATATATAAATAGAAATAAAATTTGGAATTTATTTTTGTAAATCACTTCATCAAAATTAATTTTTGATGTGATCCACAAAGCCACTGTGGTTGCTAGATGATATAACGTCAATTGATTTTAGAAAATTAAATATGAATTTATATTCATACAAAATTAACAATATCAAAAAATTCAAATTCATCAAATATGAATTGTTCATAATTTTCATTCATATTTGGCTTAAAATATACCCCCTAATTGGATTTTCACTATCATTTTGTGATGGTTATTCATCAAATTTAACGATGTTTGGCTTAAAACCATGCTTTCTAATTAGATTTTCACTATCATTTTTTTATGATTGTTCATCAAATTTAGCCATGTTTGGCTTAAAATCATGCCTTCCAATTGAATTTTCACTATCATTTTGTGATGGTTGTTCAACATTCTTTGTCATATTTGACTTAAAACCATAAATTCCAATTGGATTGTTAACATTAAAATGCTCAATATCCTTTGGCAAAAGAAGTTGATCGTTTTTTTCAATTAACAGATTGGAAAATTACCTCCCAAGCGTGCCATTTTCAGAACTTAATTTTTCCTTGGCCATGGCTTTTGTGGATAGAAAGGTTTCATTGGAAATACCTCTTAGCAACTCATAAAATTTGTGTTTTTTAAAATTCTCTAATTTTTTACTCTAATGTTGAATTTCTCCATCAACTTGATAGACTTAACAACTAAGTTGATGAATTTTTCCATCAAAGTAATTTATATCTTTTTGCATCAAATAATATGGTGGTGATGAAATTATTTGAAATTTTTGCCAATAAAAAGAATTAATTTTTTTTGTAGGGCCAAAATTTCACTCTTGTACCAATAAATTCCAACCTCACAATACTGAATCATTCTTTCCATTTCATT